GGTTTGCAACAAGACCGATTAATTTTAAAAGCCCGCATGCAAGTCCCATGCCTGGAAGCTTGAAGTGATTTCTTTTGAAATTTTTTATTCTGTTGTAATCGATCCTTTCCAACCTCTTCGCAAAAGTTATGCGATTCAGAAGTTTGTGGTTTCAGATGCGCTATCCCTAATTATTGTTAAACACTATGACTAGAGCTCTGAGGTTACATCCGCATGCCAGATTAAGTAAAATTAATGACGGATAGTTTGCTATTGGACACCGCGGATCCATACAATTATGTTCTACGTAGGACGTGTCAGATAACTAACCTTTGCAAACTCTGAACCCCATCTTTGCTTAGTATGAGCGAATACGAACTGGAACTACGAGCGCCACGTTTGTAATTGTCTGCTCTAAGGAGTTCTGTAGCTGTAGAATGGGCGGTGACGGTGGAAGCATCCCCCGACGTGTTGAGCTCGTGCGAAATAAAAAAGAACTAGAAAGAGCCGAAAAATCCGCGCTTAACGCTGCTCGATGGAAGCACTGCGCCCTAAGTGAACAACCACTACGCCAGCCTATTGTTGCATGCAAGTTAGGAAGGTGGTTCATATATTTCCATTAATCTGAAATGCGCATAGACTATACAACAAGGAGGCCATAATTGAAAAGTTGCTGGCCAAGACTAAATTTTCCAGCAAAGCGGCAGATCATATTAGCAGACTTAAAGACGTCCGTGAATTGAAATTAACACCTGATACTCCCGAAAAACAAAGCACCACAGGCACTATACCTTCTTCGGAAGGAAAATCTGAAAATTTTTGCTGTCCTATAATGAATATTGAGATGAATGGACATTATCCTTTCGTTTTTTCGTGGGTCTGCGGTTGTGTTGTTTCAAAACGGGCTTTTGATGCCGTGAAAGATAATGCGTGTTTACTTGTAAGCTCTCCTGTTTTCCATGCACTACTCAGGTTTTCTGCGTTGCTCTTCATGCCACGATTAAATTGTAGGCAACATTTCCAACTTTTCTTAAAGTTACTTTGCGGTTTTACAGTACAGGGTCTTGATTACTACAGTTTTATTTTTTGAAACCTTTTTTTCCAGTTTCTTGATAGTGGTTAAATTAATGACAATCAAGGGGAAGTTAGACCATATGCTGTACTATTGACTCTGAGTAGGCTGTTCAAGGGCAACTTATAGTAGACCTTATGCGTGATCACAGGAATTTAGGATATAATTCCACTAATTTCAATAATCCAGGCCAGTTTCTGAATTTATGTTTTTACTCGGCGATCATCTTATAACTACAACCGTAACTGTCACATATAAAGGCGGCTAAAATCAGAAGTAGGACTGCTGCACGATAACAGATCATATAAATAGTACCCATCGCCATTGCCGACAAACAAATCAATACCACTACAACATGATAGTTTCGAGCCTCTGCTCTTTTTAGTGGTGTTTACAAGTTACGCATAATCAACTTTCTCCGTGGTCAGAACGTTCACCAGATTTGATTACACTTGATAATACCGACATTTGGAAGGTGAATGAAGCAGATCATCTGTGTCACGTAAAGTTTGAAAGATATAGTGACATATGGCACTAAGATGGTTCGATGTACAGTAGTCGCCGGCTATTAAGCCCACGGTTAATAAGCCCGCTGCTTATTAAGCCCAATTTGGTCTGGGCCCGATGTGGACTTTATAACCGGCGACCGCTG